TAGTTGTAAAGCGCGATTGTAGAGAAACTACAAAATGATATCATTTTGATATATTTGTCTTACTTTTATGAAGTGTCGCGATTTGAATTGTAACGCTTTTATGAAAATTTCTACGTGGCTAATTCATTTCAGTCTTTCAAAACAAGAATGTCTTTGAACAAGTCAAAAGAACTGTATATTCAGTCTAAAAATCAAACAATTAAGTGTGCATCTTAAAAGTGAAAAGAGGAAACGCCTCTTGAGAGACTATGTATTATGCCGACAATGCATTTCAATTGATTTACCTAGATATACATGTCGTAAATATCATCAAACTCATACTTTCATCGGACATTAAAGTAGTTTCCTGGAGTTCTAGTGAGAAGTTGTGACCAGTGAGGTTCAGTCAGTCAAGTGTGGGGATGGATTTCCCGCCGATGACATTGGTTGGTGGTCGCGATAAATCACGAATTGGTAGAAGTTAGAATTCATGGACTGGCCATTGAATCGGGTCCCAGTGGCTGAATGGTATACGAGCTTGCCTTGTAACCGGAAGGTCCTGGGTTCGAACCCTGATGGTGGATGTGTACTGCCGATGATTCCCGAACTAGGATGAAACAGCTGTCCAGTACTCCCTGATTCTCTAACTGATATCAATCCTTGGTCAAACTCGTGAAGACACAAAATCTAATCCTTACAAACCAACTCTTGAACATTAAAGTAATAACCAATCTCATGCGTCTAGTCTTCTGTTTGCTGGAGGTGGCTTGTGCCATTAAACTTGACTCTGCAGCAACACCAAGGAGTAGATGTATGACACTAGTATCCATTACAATCTTATAGAAGGTCGATTGCGAGCTCGAATAACTCAGTGATGCTAACGTCTTTGATGATTACAGCACCAGCTGATCCGGGTTCGAATCTCAGAAGGGACATGACTTCCTTCACACCTTGCTGACGAATGCCAACAAACACAAAACTCTGGGTTCAAAACATCCTACCAATTACCGATCAACGTCACACATCTAGGATTCACAGAAGTGTTGGTTAATTTTGAACCAGTGGGAAAAAGAAATGAAATTGTTCAAATGAAATTTTTATTTATTGTATGAATTGAATAGTAATAGTAGTAATAATAGTAATAATAATTGAATAATTAATAGTAATAATAAACTCCAATTTAAGTAGTAGTAATAGTAGTAAATATCTATACACCTAGTAATATGGAAATTCATCGAAAGACAATGTACAAACAGTAATAAACGACAGAGAGAGCGAAAAAAGAAGTAGGGAAGGGAGGAAGAAAGAAAGATTGAAAAAGACAGATGAATTAAAACAACCACCTACTAAAGAAGGTGGACTGAGAAATTGCATGTGTGCATGTGTCACATTCAGAAATGCTTAACACATCACTTATCCTTCAGGCTAAGCAATAACATATCACACAGGATAGGAAAAAAAAACACAACTACAATTGCGAAAAGAAGACGAAGAAACAAGATTGGGCATAGTGAGTTTTATTTTTCAAATAAGATTTTTTAAAAAACAAACGACAACTGGAATAATGTTACTCAATTGAAACAACAATGATTACAATAAAATACTCACCAAACAAAAGAAAGAGGAGGTGGAGAAAAAAACGCCTCTTTTTTTATCATCTGAATCTACTCAAGTAGGGGTTCATCAGTGTAGGAATAAATAGTAATAGTAATTAAACACAACACATATAAAATCAAATCAACTCAACATGAACTAAGTACAAATATGTTTAAAGTAGCGATCCGAGAGAAAGAAGATGTTTACAAGAGTATACAATACAATAGCGATAAAAAAAAAAAAAAAACAACGAGAGAACAACATTTAATAACTCTACAGACATAATATTGTTATTAGAATTCAAAACTTAACAACAAATAGTAATAACAATAATAGTGATAATGTCCATAATTAGACAGGAAATGAGTAATCATTACATTCTGACATTATCTACGTTTTGTTTGTTTTTTTGATAATCCAAAATAACAGTAGTAGTAATAATGTGATTTCTCTTCTCTAAATATGCATTGTGTATACAATAGATGAAATGTGCAGACAACACTAATAATAGTAGTAGTAGTGGTTGTATTTTAGTTAATACACATGTGAATTGTTCCCGTATTCTATAAAAACAAACACCCTATTCTACTATAATGCTTTGTAATCCATTTTGTTGTCACGCTGAGGAGCAGATTACAAATAGGCGTGTGTGTTGGTGTATATTTTCATTCTCTCCACCCCACTGCTGTCCTTACACTTGTTCTTTAAGTGTTTCAACTCGTTTCGCAGAAAAAAAAACTGTCAGAGAGTCAAGGTGTGGAATAAATGAATAAAGAGTTATTTATTATGATTATCATTATGTTAAATGCATAACACACACGTGTTATTTATTATTTGTTAATCATTACCCTCAACACTTTGAAAATAAACGGAATATACTGATGATACACATACAGGCAGGGGTGGGATATACTCCTCTCTTTATTCGTGTTATTCTTATTTATATTGAATCATGGGGAGAGACAAGGTATCTA